AGTTTTTTTCATTAGCTTTTGAAGATAATTAAAATATTTTTCAAGTAAAAGTCTAAAAACATGGTTTTTTTTTTTAATTTTTCACCATATTTTATTATTTTTTTAAAGTAAAATATATGACATGATACAAATAATGGTAGGTAAAGAAAGCCCTTCTTGTCCTGAAAAAAAAAAATATAATTTGTATGGGAACCGTAAATGAGAGAGCGGAAAATTACAGCTAAACACAAACACCACAAAAGTGTTAAAACCGCTCTGGTCCTTAACGTACAACATCGCAAAAACAGGCCCTTAAGGCGTTAACAGGCCCTTAAGGCCTTGTGGTCACCAAGCTTTGCTTTGAGCTCAAGCAATACCCTTGATATCTAGCATACCCAGCATTTTTTTTTTTAATTATGAGGTGAAATGCATGCATGCACCAGCACTATATATTTATATTGGGAAATTCTTGGTACCATACCTGTGTCGTGTTTTGCTGCTTGGGCAAATGTGTTTTTTGTGCTGGTCTTGCCTGCAGACCCTGCTCCCAGATCCTTCTTGCAGAAGAAGAGCTAGCTCCTCTATGGTAAGCAGGTCCATTCAGGGCTGGTCTTAATGCCTGAGAATGTCAGCTTGGCACTGAGCAGCCAGTAAACGCAGTCCTGGTTCAGTGAAGAAACCTGGCTTTTCCTTGATGTGTGTAGGAACTAGGGATATGGGAGGTAAAATCCCACCCCAGAAACTCTGGTGTAGCTTTTTAAGGTCATAGATTTCACTCTTTAAAAAAAGATAGGAAAAACAAAACATGTTAAAAGAGTTAGTTGTCCCATTGCACTAAAAATTCCATAAGGATAATCATTTTGCCTGTATAAAATTACGTAAATTGTATTCTCTCCCTCAGATTGTTACGGCTGCCCCCCTAGATTTTCTTTGGTTCCTAGGTCATTGACCAGATAAGTTGTCAAACTGATTTGGGCCAATTTAAGACAAAATTTTTTGATTTCAGTGGCATTACCATTTTACAAATATTTTTTGAACTTTAGATTGTTCCCGACTGTTCATGACTGTTAAGTAATACTGGCTGAAAGTCATAACATATTAATGATCAATTACCAACTCCAGATTGTAATGTAGGCCCTAGTTTTTGGTTCCAGTTGTAAAACACCACAAGTACCACTTATCTTTGTGCAGCAGGTATTTGAGGACTACATGTCCCATGATGCTTATCCAGTTTGGCTGGCTGAGAATCATGTGTATCTTAGTAGCCAGCAGTAATCTAAATGCTTGATTCACTAACTATGATGATTACATCTGCAACCAAATTAAATTCCAACTTTTTAAAAGTAATTAAAGACTGCCATATTTATAAATAATTAAAAATGTAATATGTATTGATGGGTGCAGTCTCAATGTAATTAATTCATCCCCACTATTTCTATAGCTTCATTTTGCACAATTTCTGTACACACACACCCGCCCCTTAAAAGTCTTAATTAGAAGTTAGAACAACAGTTTCACTGTTGCTTCTGTTTTCTAATCTGGTGATTGCATCCAATAATTCTCATAAAATTATGTGGGTTCTAAAACTATATTTGTCATTAATACAGACACAGTTGAAGTTTTAAATTAACTTAAAATACATCAGATTCTATTGGTTTTTCCTTCTTTTTTTACTGTCCGTAATAATATTAACCAGCATTGTAATTTGTGGAACTGTAAAAATGTGTACGTTAGTCTTATTATTATGAACATGCCTGTTCCAAAGCATAATTAAACGAAAGGCCAGGAATAGTTTTGTAGCTAATTCAAACAGTTTCTGGGCCTTTTTTTTAACATTTAGAGCTTCACATTACCCTTCATGTGAAATGCATTAAGAAGAGAATACATTTATAGAAAGACTTTTTAAGTTACATAAAATAAATGTACTCACATTGTTAAATCATTAAGGTGTCTGGTTCTGTAGTTTCACTTGCATTTTGATACTGTTTTGTGTTACTGTTGCCTATGATCACATAGGCAACAGAAGGTCCACAATTTAGGCATTACTCCATGATGTTGAAACCTAGGTATAGAACCTGTTGCTGTTACTTGATTGCTGGTTGGAGGACCATCTGTTGAGATATTTAGTAACTAAAATATTCAGAATCATGTGGGAGAAGCTAGTCAATAGTATTTCAAAATGTATTTGTATGATAAAATGGTGCTGCGTGTATGAAGAAACTGTATGTTGATAAAATTGTAGTGTATCAAGAGCTTATTTTGGATATAGAGAAGCATAATAAAAAGGGACATGCATGACCTACATTTTTTTTTTTTTTTGCATTGCATATAGAAGTTACAGCAAGCTTGAGGTACCCCAACGGCATTCCTCAGGCAAATCAACATGTAGTACAAAGGGGTGGTCGAAGAGTCAGGCACACTTTTTTATATTATAAACGAGCTAGTGAAATTAGGAACAAGGTAGCATGGTATTGTTAGTTAACTGTGTTTGCCGATTATTTTGATTCAAACCACAAGGCTTACCATCATATTATTACAACATATGCACCACATAGGCAAATTGAATATCCAAAGCTTAAAAGTAAGAGTGGTATACATTGCGCTTGAACTATTGCAATTTGATTTATACGTATATACGAGGTTTCCTTAAAGGGACACTCCAGGCACCCAGACCACTTCTGCCCATTGGAGTGGTCTGGGTGCCAACTCCCACTACTCTTAACCCTGCAACTGTAATTATTGCAGTTTTTTATAAACTGCAATAATTACATTGCAGGGTTAATTCCACCTCTAGTGGCTGTCTACTAGACCGCCACTAGAGGGCACTTCCTGGTTTCTAGAACAGGAAACCTGTGCTAGAGCGTTGCTGCATGTCCTTACGCTATGTGAGGACCTTACGCTATGTGAGGACCTCCAGCGTTGCTCATTTCCCCATAGGAGCGCATGCGCATTAGGTCTCCCCGGCCGGTGGGCGGGATCAGTCTCACCGACCGGCCGACGCAATGCAAAGGAGGAGCGGCGGCGGAGGAGGAAGCAGCTGCCTCAGGTAAGTTACTGAAGGGGTTTTTACCCCTTCAGCAACCGGGGATTGGGGGTTGAGAGGGAGAGGGGACCTACAGTGGCAGGAAAACGTATTGTTTTCCTGGCACTGGAGTTTCCCTTTAAGTTTAACTATGTACATCTGTGGCAGTTGTATAAAGCAGGTGCGTCTGGCCGCGCAACTATGTACTAGGTGGGTGGAATTACGCCGCCAGGTTAGGCTCTTTGTATATTTATCACTCTGCTAGAGCATAAGGCTGGTGGGGGAGGAGATCTCTGAATATGTGGTAACCATTTTGGTTACGTTGTGGGATCTGCGTGGGGCTTGCGAGCGCCGATTAAGGGGGTCAATGCATTTGTGACGTGTGGCATGTTGTACAATGGGGCAGCTAGTGAACAGCAATAGCTTATGGTTATTAGGCTGCAGGTTAAGTCCACATTGCATACATCAGGTGGAGGCGGCTGTGCTTGAGCCATGTTTATTCTGCCGCGGAACGAAGGTAGTCGCCTTCTCTGGGTTCCATCTATGCGGTGTGCCGGTTGCGCTTCGGGTATCTGCGGGTTGCAGCCTCACGTGAGATAGTCCCAGTGTGTGTAGTAGGCTCTGTGCCACCTGCAGGTCAAAGACTTCATGCCTGGTGTTGCCTTGTAGGACGGAGAGGGAGCGGTAGGTCGCCATCTTTACTGTATCTCTTGTTGTGTGAGGAAGGATGTGAAGAGCTTGAGGGCCAGGCCAGTGTGTCACCTGAAATGTCCGCAAAGAAAGTGAGCGACATTGATTCGAAAGGGTATGGTGTGTGGTCTCGGACCGCTGCCAGTGTTGCTGCTTTTGTCTCTCCTCTGTTGGAAGCATATGATAAGGTCTCGGGTGGCTGTGCTGGGCGGACTTGCCGGTTTCGGGGCTCTGAAAGTGCCATTCAGCTCTATAGTTTTCGCTTGCCGCGGGTGGAGCAGTGCCGACAGGAGCCTGCGTACCAAGTGCGGTAATTCAGCTGTCGGGATATCTTCTTTTATGCCCCGTACCTTAATGTTGTTCGCACAGCGCATCTTCCAGGGCTTTTTCAGCCCCTGGATCTCCTGCTGTAAGGAGGTGTTCTCCAGGGTGCTCAGTCTTCCCAACAGCCCTTAGCTGTCTGTGTGCAGACTGGCCACATCAGAGTGTATGTTAGCCTGCAGGTCTGCCAAAAGTTTCTTAAGCACCTCTGCTGTGACAGGTGCAGTATCGGAGCTCAAGGATTTCGGCTTTGGTGCCCGGCCGATAAGTTATATGTTTCTTCCTCCAGTGAAGTGTCATCTGAGAGCTCTGAATAGGCCTCTGGATAGTCGGCCATCTTGGGCCCAGCAGCTCCATGAGTTTTCCTCAGCAGCTCTCCGATATCCAGGCTTTGCTGTGGCCCGTCAGGTTTTTGTTTTTTGGTCTTCCCACCCATGTTGTATTCCCCTGCTTGTTGGGTATTTGCAGTGTTTTTTTCTGGGTTTTGTTGCCCAAATCAGGCGTTTTTTTTAGCGTCTGTTTGCTGGAGCTCTAAGGCCATGCAACCGCTCAGCTCTGTGGTTAAGCTCCGCCCCGCATGACCTACATTTTGGGTTATGATAGCAGTCAAGCTTTTGCAGATAGATGTCTAAATCACTTTATCCAACCAGTTTAAAGCAACCTTTTTAGAATCCAAGGGTCCACTGTGGTATCTCGGTATCTAGTTGTGCAATGTGTAACACGTATCTCTGGGGTATGTGGATTATAGTGATCTTAATTGTAGTTTTGGTGTAGAGCTATAAACCCTCACTGTTCTTTCAGTGCCTGTGTTCGTTCCTGTGCTATACTGTGCCTCAATGTACCCATGTCTATGTACTTAAGAGGGTGTGTGAAAAAGGGACACCGCACAATGACTAAGCACATACATCATGGCTAGTGATGTCGCGAACCGTCCGCGAACTTGCCGCGAACGGTTCGCCATGAACCGTTCGCGGCGAACTCCCGTCAGCTGACACATCCCTGCCAATCTCCGGCAGACCCTCCCTCCCAGACCCTCCCACCTCCTAGACAGCATCCATGTTGAAGCTGCCTTCAACATGGATGCTGTCCAGGAAGTAGGAGGGTCTGGGAGGGAGGGTCTGCCAGAGATTGGCAGGGATGTGTCAGCTGACCGGAGTTCACCGCGAACGGTTCGTGGCGAACGGTTCGCGGCAAGTTCGCGACATCACTAATCATGGCTTCACTGTGAATATGTTGGAAAAGTGTGTGTGTTTTTTATTGAAGGTGGCATACTAGAAAAACAGAACATTATTGGAAAGTAGAGAGTAAAGAGCTCAAGGCCAGTCAATAAATGTATTCTACAATATGCTAAAGCAATAACACCATAACCACAACATATTTTGGAAATTCTATAAATAGATAAAACAAATAAAACCAAAAATAATTTGTATATTCTATGCAAATATGCTAAAGGCATAAAAACTGAAATCCTTTATGTTCTAGGCAAGGGACAAAACCAAATATTTGTCACACATTGTAAGGAACAAATCAGTGCCGTGTTTTTAAGGTACACACTTTTTGCAGAAAATACAGACTATAACGTTTGTGACAACAGTAATAAAAGTATTTACATTCAGTAGAATGCCTTTTTTATAAAATAACAAGTGACAAATAGAAATGCACTTTGTTTCTGTTTCGACTGTGAAAGAGTTAATATTAGCTCAGTTTTCAACTGCAGACCTTCTTTATATGAAAAGATCAGTGCTGTATTAATTTGTAAATAAGAGCTTTAATTCTATACATATCTATGACAGCAAAATGAGATGGCAGGGGAGAAAAATTCCCATCCAGAGCCTGCTCCATTTCAGTGGCGGTGAGCATTGTTGAATTATCAGTGAGATAGAAAAAGTAATTATTCATCCAGGGGAGTTGAGTGAGTCCTAGGAGACTGTATTAGACAACTGCCTAGCAGAAATGATAAAGTACTCTCATGAAAACCCAAAGCTGGGAGGTTTGCTTAACCTTATTTTTCTGTAGTTTATTTTTTTTTTATTATTATTATTTTATTCATTATTAATCATGTTAGTTAACACAAAATTATGTAAGGTGCTTGTTTAATGTTTTTTTTCTCAATGTTTCAAAGTAAATGTAAAAATTTATTTAGTGGATAAATAACCTCTTCTGCATGAGACGAAAAAAATAGCTACAAGCCTCTCTGACTTAGTTTCGGTATGTTATAGGTGAATATTATGCCTGTCTAGATTCTCAGGATTGCAGATCTGGACAAGTGGGCGAGCCATGAGTGACATGGCTCGTGTCATTGGTGACCCCCATAATACATGCCACCCACTGACGAGGCATTCCAGACTGGCATTAAGCACACTAGGCTGACTGACAACCAGTATGGTGCAGAGACGCTGCAGTAGCGATCTCTGCATGGTCCTAGTGCCTGCAATACAGTGCAAATGCACTCACTGAATTAAATATTAATGAATGGAGTGCACTACACAAAAAGTAAAGCAAAAGAATAATTAATGAATAAGGCCCAAAAGTAATAATTAATGGAAAAGAACTTCAGGAAATAAAATCACCAAGGCACAGTTTATTCAGTGATACTTTGATAAATCTCCACCTGTTTCTAATACCACCACAAAATGTGAAACTGATGCACACTCTGGTGTAAGAGCAACAATTTAATCAAAGAGCAGAGAGAGCAACCCCTACTTAAAGGACCACTATAGGCAGCCAGACCACTTCAGTTAATGAAGTGGTCTGGGTGCCAGGTCCTTCTAGGGTTAACCCTTTTTTTATATATAAATATAGCAGTTTCAGAGAAACTGCTATGTTTATGTTAGAGTTAATCCAGCCTCTATTGGCTGTCTCATTGACAGCCGCTAGAGGCGCTTGCGTGCTTCTCACTGTGATTTTCACAGTGAGAAGACGCCAGCGTCCATAGGAAAGCATTGTGAATGCTTTCCTATGGACTGGCTGTATGCGCGCGCAGCTCCTGCCGCGCATGCGCATTCAGCCGAAGAGGAGGCGGAAAAGAGGAGGAGAGCTCCCCATCCGGCGCTGGAGAAAGAGGTAAGTTTAACCCCTTCCTCTCCATCCAGCCCGGCGGGAGGGGGTCCCTGAGGGTGGGGGCACCCTCAGGGCACTATAGTGCCGGGAAAATGAGTATGTTTTCCTGGCACTATAGTAGTCCTTTAATGAGTGGGCATTCAAATGATTCCTTTCTAAGCATACTGAATTGAAACATGTCTGTGGGGAAACAACATAGGGCTGAGTTTAACATTTTTTTTATTACATTGTAACATTACCTAGCTACATATAAATTACACGGTCTTTGCAGATTCATCCTTCTTTTAAACCTCTGACAATTTTTTCTCTTAAGGAAATAATGGACTTAAGGGGCATTTAACTTGCAAACATATTTTGGGTGATAAAGGTACACATTACAGCTCTAAGGTGTTTTCTGAAGGTGTGGACTGTCACAAAACGTTTAACTGAACATATAAAGGGGAAATACAAAGAATCAGATAGAAAAGGCTTTGGACAATGCAAGACACACTCACACACATATATGTGAGTGTGTTAACTTCTGGTTATGAATCCCCACGAATGTCATCAGAGAGTTACATATTGGGCAGGTACAATTTATCTATAATTCTCAAATAAAGCAAGTGATGCTCCTGCTTCTGCCAGAAGCTAAAATAGAATGTTCAAAGCATGTGGGAATGACGGCAGCTTGATCAGATGTATTTTTTTTTAAACTGGAACTCTTGCTGGGTTCACTATTTTTCTTCTCTCTGTTTTTTTCTTCTTCTTTAAGATGAAGACAGAGATAGTAGAAGTTAATGATTTAGGACGGCATTCTCAGAAAGACACACAAATAGTACAGTTACGGTTACGTTAGAGAAAAAACAACGCAGAAGTGCAGGGACAGTCAGCTGCAGCCGAGAGATAAAATATTGCTGCTCATTTTTTATCTCCCACAGGATGAAAGTAGGAGGGTAAGCAATTGTTTATTTCGAACATGGCACTCACACAAAAGTGAACACTGGATTTCCTTTTTTTTTCCATTTTCAGATTAATTAGTTTAACGGTACAAAGCTCATTCCTTAACACTAGTGTTCAGTAACAGTTGCCGTACTGGTAGAGCAGTAGTGGTTCATTGCATGTTCATTCGCAGAGCACTTTGTAGGGGCCGCTCCAGTAATCCACAGGACAAAGTACTTCAAAGCCATCCCGCTGTGGTAAAACATTATACTACTGGGTTTCCTTGTCCACAGTTTTTAAATTTAAACTTAAACCAGACTGCTTGAACACAGACAGAAATCCCTACATTTGTCTCGTTAAAAAAATGAGTTGTTACAATGAAACTGATTTACATACCTTTGTTCACAACTCTAAAAAAAGGGCAAAACATCACTTGACAGGTGCATATAAGTTACATAGAAATATTGAATGTGAAGGCAAATAAGAACCATTCTAGTCCATCAATTTTCTAAATACTCTCATTAGGTCCCTGTCCTTGTCTTATAGCTAGGATAGCCTTATGCCTATGCCACGCATGCTTAAACTCCTTCACTGGGTTAACCCCTACCACTTCAGTTGGAATGCTATTCCATGCATCCACTACCCTCTCTGTAAATTAATACTTCCTGATATTTTTTAAAACATTTGCCCCTCCAATTTAAGACTATGTCTTGTTGTGGTAGTTTTTCTTCATTTAAATATAAAGTCTCCTCCTTTACTGTGTTGCTTCCCTTTATGTATTTAAATGTTCCTATCATATTCCCTCTGTCTCGTCTTTCCTCCAAGCTACAATCATGTTAAGATCCTTTAACCTTTCCCAGTAAGTTTTATCCTGCAATCCATGAACCAGTTTAGTGTCAATATCCTTCTAAAAATATGGTCTCCAGTACTGTGCACAATACTCCAAGTGAGGTCTCACCAGTGTTCTGTACAATGGCATGAGCACTTCTCTCGTTCTACGGCTAATACCTCTGCCTATACAACCAAGCATTCTGCTAGCATTTCCTGCTGCTCTATTACATTGTCTGACTATCTATAACTCATCTGAAATAATTACCCCTAAATCCCTTACCTCAGATGTTAAAGTTCCATCAAATATTCTATACTCTACCCTTGGGTTTTTACGTCCAAGATGCATTATCTTGCACTTATCCACATTAAATGTCAGTTGCCACAACTCTGACCCTTTTTCTAGTTTACCTAAATCATTTGCCATTTGGCTTATGGAACATCAATCCTGTTACATTTGCCACGTATGCGCTTTAGCATCCTCGTTGCAGGGCGTCTGAGGGGGCGGAGCATCAGTCCAGCACTGAGGAACATTGGCGCCCGGAAAAGGTAAGTAAATAAAGGGCGTTTTAACCCTTTATTTACCCGGGTTGGAGGGGTGCGAGGGAGGGGGGAGGCAGAGGGAGCTGTAGTGCCAGGAATACAGCTTTGTGTTGTGACCGTGTGACTGATCAGTGTGTAGATATATATACATACACATATATATATATATATATATTTATTTCTTCCTATGTATTTTATTTCACTTTTTTCCTACTTTCTTCTCTACTAAAATATAAAATGTAATATCACAGTATATCATAAGTATTTATTTTAGATGAAATAATTAAGTCACCAATATTGAAAACTGTCATAGAGTATATGTTTTACATTCTGTTGTGTAGAAATTGTAGAAATTGAGGTTTCTAATCTTTTTTGTTGTTATTTTACATATATATTGCATTGTAATTTCTACTGTCATAAAGCTGTTAATGTTTTTTATCATTTTAGTTGAGATCACTGGTCTAGAACAGGAATATAGGCTCCAGAAATCAGTTACTAAGCACACTGTATTTAGTACCCAATGACCTTTTCAGTTTTTAGACTTGCGATCATAAACCATGCAAGCTTTAGGCTCAACATTTCTTGCGTTTTATGTCCCATTTTCACTGTGACAATAAAATGTGCTAACAAAGACCTAAATATGCCCCAATTGTCCAATCTTCTGACTAACATCAATAAATATTTCCCCATTTGTAATATATCTACAAGTAGACATATTGTAGCACGAAATCCTTTCAAAAGGTTCTCAAAGACTCTTTTATGATATAGTTAAGCCTTTACAGCTGGATTTACCATTGG